GGAGGAGGAGGCGGAGGAGGGCGGAGGCGGAGGGCGGAGGAGGAAGAGGAGGCGGAGGAGGAGGAGGAGGAGGAGGAGGAGGAGGAGGAAGAGGAGGAGGAGGAGGAGGAGGAGGAGGAGGAGGAGGAGGAGGAGGAGGAGGAGGAGGGGGAGGCGGAGGAGGAGGGGGAGGCGGAGGAGGGGGAGGGCGAGGAGGAATGGAGGAGATGGATGAGTCTGATGGGATTCCAATGCTTGTTTCGTAGCTTCAGGTGGACGGGAGGGCAGGGCGGATGAGCAGAACGGGAGGAGGAAGGGAGAGGAGTAGGAGGAGGTGGAGCAGGATGAGGAGGAAGGACCTCTGCTCGCGCACGCGAGCGCTCGCGCGCACGCCGGTGGGGAGGGGGTGGAGGAGCAGGAGGAGGAGGAGGAGGAGGAGGAGGAGGAGGAGAAGGAGGAGGAGTGGAGGTGTTTCGACCCACGACTGTATTTTCCTCGGGCGTGCTAACTTCGGGTTCGTCAAGGTCCTCCTTTGCGGGGCCTTGAGAGAGGGGGGAGAGGGGGAGTCAGAGGGTTCGGTTGTCGCGCCGTCGGCTGTCGCGGCCGTGGCCGGGTCGTGGCGATATGCCACCCGCCCGCAGCGTCGGGCAGTGGTCGTCGTCGAACGGCGGTGTCAGTGGTGGCAGAGTTGGGGTCGGGCAGTGGCAGAATCGTTGTGGCATTATAGCAGCGGGGTGGTATAATGGTGGTGGTCATGGTGGCATGGTGGGGCTAGTGGTAGCGGTCCTGCTGGCAGTGGCAGTGGCCGTGGTGGGGGCCGTAGCTGGAGCCGAGTCCCCGTTCATTGCCCCAGGGCGCTGAGCAGTATCTCGGCGCTGCCCGTCTGCCGCAGGCTCTGGCTGACCTGTCTCCAAAACGCTCCCTCCGGGCCCGCCATGTCCCGCACAAATCTCCAGCACCTACCTGTCGTTGCGTGGTATCCGACCCCGGACCAAACCTCTGGCGGCGATGTCGGCGGCCACAGATCGGGGCAAGGTGGTTGTCGAGGAGTGGTATGCCCCCTTCCCGCTAGGCGACGTAGACGTGGCTCATTTCTCAATAATGTAGCGACGGAATGTTGTCAATTTACGCTCAGCATTGGCAGTCATGTTTTTTTTTTTGGTTTGGGGCCGATTCTCACGCAACGAACTTGGAGCGGCAGACCCCCATGCCCAAGTGAGTGCTTCCGTCGCGGCATGCCCGTGCCGTGGGAAGGACCTCTGCGCGCGCACGCGAGCGCTCGCGTGCACGCCAGGGGGGGAAGAGGAGGAGGAGGAGGAGGAGGAGGAGGAGGAGGAGGAGGAGGACGAGGTGGGGGAGGAGGAGGAGGAGGAGGAGGAGGGGGAGGGGAGGAGGGAGGGACGAGATGGATGAGTCTGATGGGATTCCAGAGTTTGTTTCGTTGCTTCAGATGGACGGGAGGGATAGGAGATGGGAGGAGGAGGAGGAGGAGGAGGAGGAGGAGGAGGAGGAGGAGGAGGAGGAGGAGGAGGAAGACGAGGGGTAAGGGTCGGAGAACAGGCAGTGACAGAAACTTTATCTTCTGGAGGTCTGCGCAGATTTCTCGGATCGGCTCTGGAGCCCCCCTCCCTAGGGCGCGGAGCGCGCCAGGGGTGACGCTGGAGGCGCCGCCAGGGGGCCCCAGCGCCGATCCAAGACACCCACGCCGACCTCCGAAAGTTCATGTGAATGCCATGGATTGTTCCCTACAAGGGGAGGGGGGAGGTGGGAGAGGGAAGGGGGACAAGCTAGTGTGCTCGCGCCATGTCTGATATCCTGCCCCTCCCGCCCATCCCTTGCCACTGCGCTGAATTCTTTCCTATCCGCCGCCTGTGGTCTCCCAGATGACCTTGATCTTCAAAATGAACCCATCGAGTGATGCGCAATTTTCATGGGATGCGTTTGGACGAGGGGGAGGTGGTGGATGAGCAGGAGGATGAGCAGAGAAACAAGCACCATGATGAGGACGAAGTAGGAGCAGCAGCAGGCGCCAGAGTAGGATAATCAGGACGACCAGTGGAAGGCGGAGGAGGGGAAAGGAGGGGACGGCACGACGAGGAACGAATCGCAGAAAGTTGGCCCTCGCTTGAGCGAGAACGCGCATGCGAACGACGGGAGCAACGCACCGATCTTGAATTGCGGCTGGCGCTGCAGCGGGAGCACAATGTTTCAAGGACCGAGAATGTTGTATGGGAAAGGCAAGATCGAAAGCCAGCTCAGGGTAATCGTGTGTTTCAAATGCGGGATACGCGGGGGAATCTAAACGCAGCCTTTGGGGAGAGAGGAGGGTAAGTAGTCTTGATGCTTTCATGCTGCGTGACTGTGGATGCGAAGGGTGGACGAGGTGGAGGAATGACTCGGGAGGATATCTCAAGACCTTCGCGAGGGCACAAACGAGCGACAGCGCAAACACCACCGCTGTTCGGCCTGCAGCAGCGCCAGGGGCCGCTGCGGCGTCCCTCGCTCCCTGGAGGGCCTTTCTCTTTGCTTCGTTTGACCCCCCCCCCCCCCCGCGGCAATCGCTGCTGGAGGGAGGGGGATAGCTACGCCGCTTGATGGCCCCAGAGCAACTGTCCATAACAATAGGCGGAGGAGGAGGAGGAGGAGGACGACGAGGAGGAGCAGATGGCGTGTGGTGGGATCCCGCCTCCCCCGCGCCAGGAGGCCCTGGGCCGGCGGGCAGGACGCTGTTCTCGCTGTACGCGGAGACCCCGCCCGGATGCCAGGCCCTCGCCGCAGCAGCTGCTCTCTCGCCCCAGTTATCTTCCTTGCCGCCTCGCGCCTCATCCTCGTCCTCCCCGTTATCTCGTGCCCTCCCTCCTTCATCTTTCCGTCTGTCCCTCCCGACGTTCCTCTTCCATCCCCATCTCTTCTTCTTCCTCGTCGTAATCTCGTGCCTCCTCGTTCTCGTCCTCCTCCTCCTCCTCCTTTCCTCTCGCCTCCTCCTGTCGTTGTCGAGCTCAAGATTATATATATATATATATATATATATATATATGTATTCCTCTTCCTATATTTTAATAAGCCCCGGCGGGGGGAAAACCCATCCCCCCCCCCAAAACCGGACTCCCGGGACCTGGAGTTTTGGGGCCCTCCGGACGGGCCTCGAAGCGGCCACTGGGCCTCGCAAGGCGTTTTGCCAAGCCTTCCCAGCACACTTAGGGCGATCAGGGGGGCATCGGAGACGTCCCAGAGACCCCCAAGACAGCACAAGAGCGCTCCAAAAGTGACCGACGTGACCTCAAGATGGCCCAAGAGGCCTCCAGGGCGGCCCCAAAGAGGCCTCCAAGAGCACTCCCAAGAAGGCCCCCCGAGGCAACAATCATGGATTTTCTGTTGGTTTTTGGTGAATTTTGGGGTTCTCCTTTTTTCGGCTTCCCGACGCTCCAGGACGGCGGTCTTCCGGGCGTCCGAAGCCGCCTGAGAGGCTCCCAAATCGCCCCACAACCATCCGAAAGGGCTTCCAGGCAATCCAAGAGAGCCCCAAAACGGCACAACACGGGTCCAAGATGGCCCTCAGAGAGCCCCATGGCGGCCCAAGATGGCCCAAAGACACCCTCCGAAGAATTCCAAATCGTGATTCGGTCGTTCAGGGAGACGGCGGTTGGAGGCAGGGTGGCCCGAGGAAGCCCCCGGAGGCCCCCAGAATACGCCCAGGAGGCCTCCAGAAGGCCTTAAGAAAGCCCGAAACAACTTTTGTGAGGCCCCTAGAGGCTCTCCAAGGAGGAGCCTCCGCAAAAAAGAGCTGAGGAGGATGGGGAAAATGCGCAGGGTATGGCGAAACTGAAAAACACTAAGCATGGAGGAAGGATAACGAATAACATCATTATAGCGGCGATGCCGGAAAAGGCAACCAGGAGTTATCGCTAAATTGTCGGCTTGACCTTCCTGCCATTCCGCCTGCATTCCAAACTTCAAGGGCCAAGGTGCATGGCGCGAAGCGTCACTGCAGTCTTGTATATATATACATATACACGATGGTTTCGGCAGAGCCCCGCAGGCACGTCAGCTTCCGCATCCAGCGGGCAGATCGAAATCCGACACGTGATGATTCGTGCTTGAGCGTTACCTTTGTGGACGATGACCAATGGAGAGGAAACACGTTGCCAAATAATTTCCAGATGTCTTAAACATGTGTTGACCATATCTCAAACATGTGAACAAACACACTGTTTCAACACGTTGAGCCTTTTCCTAAATGTTTCGCACATGTTCAAAGTCAGTGATCGAATTGTTAGGGTGTCCATTGCCATGGCATCCACAATGTTACCCCGCGCTTGGGGGTGGATCTGTCGAGCAAAGCTGCGTGCGACCTCTCGCGCCTCTTCTTCTCCCTGTCGTCTCTCCTTGTCTCCCTCCCCCTCCCGGCCGCTGTCTACGATTCCCCGGAAACTTCGGCGACGGCTTCAGGGACCATACGGATTTTTGTTGCCTGCGGGGCGCCTCCGTAGAGGAAGACGAGCAGAGAAGCATTACAAGACGGGAGGACGCAGAGGATGAGGAGGGAGGGAGGGAGGGAGGGAGGGAGGGAGGGAGGAGGACGAGGAGGAGGACGAGGAGGAGGACGAGGAGGAGGCGGAGGATAATCCCCCGTGTGCCAACACGAAGATCAATCTTCCTCCCTGCCCGACGTCTGTGGCCATTCGGGCTCGAGCGCTCGGCCGTCTCAGAGTACGTGTCGGGTGGGCGCTGGAGTTTGCCGTTGGGCCTGCGCCCTCGATGCCGCGCCGCGGCGGAGGGGCTGAGGAGGGAGAGGGGGGGAGAGGGAGAGAGAGAGAGAGAGATCCGAGCAACACCGATCTTACCCCTTGCCAGAGATGCGCCCGAATATGCCGCCAATAACGCCCAAGAGCGCCGCAAGAATCCACCAGGATAGCCGCAACAGGGCCTCACGACACGAACGAACCAGCGATCTCGCGTCCTATCATAAAGATAGCGCTTTCCGCTCACCTGCTAGGCAGGTGACGGAAAGAGCGAGTAACGAGTGATACCATTCTAGGTAGGGCGACAGCCCTAATTGGGTCGGGGTCCACAGTAGGGAGATCGGGACCCACGCTAGTCTAATCCCGGATTCCTCCAAGGGCGTCATGATAGTCTACGAGGGCGCCTAGAGGCTACCAAAATGGCTCCCAGGTGGGCCCAAGATGCTTCAGGATGGTTCTACGTGTGCCCTCTGGAGCAGAACATCGTGAGCACCATCTGGTTCTCGTATGTTAAAATGTTCTCCGCTAGTGAGCTCCAGAACTTCGCCAAGGGAGACACGAGGCTCCCAGAGAGGGTTGAAGATGCCACGATCCCCTCCAGGCCCCGTAATGTCCCCAATGTTGCCCCGATGGCCTCCTCGATCCTTGGCCCATTTCCGGCTCAAGCTCCAACTTTCCACACCCCTGTCTTCTCTCTCGCTGCTCTGCGGCTTCCGCGGGCGGCTTCCGCGGCTTACCCACTTGCGCGAGCGGACTTTGTCGTTTCCCCATCGACGAGACCCGGATGGCTAACCGAGCCCTTGTGCTTAGCGGTGGTCACTGCCCACGCTTGCAGGCCGCGCGTGCCGTGCAGAATCTCTGACGAGGCGCGCAGCTCCCTTACAACGCACGCCAGCATGGCTACTTGGGATGTTGGTGCGTGGCTTCCGCAGGGGAATTGCTGTGGGTGCGGAGACATTCTATGTCAATTGTGGTCGGATTCTTTCTGGCTCCATCGACACTAGAGCTGATCAGTGTGCAGTGAGATGCTCCGCCCTTTCTGGGTATGTCGCCTTCTCTGTGCACGACACAACGGCTTGTTTTTGCCTCACGACTACGCCAACACCAAGGGATGACACTATCGCTGCTTCTTCTTGCACGAACGCGGTTGGAAATAATATTGTTTATGCTTTAGGTGGGGCGCAGACGCCAGCTCCAACGCCCGCACCAACGCCCGCACCAACGCCCGCACCGACGTCCGCACCAACGCCCGCACCGACGTCCGCGCCAACGCCAGCACCGACGCCAGCACAGGTGGCGACGAGTTCGGCCGTTGGCGATCCCCATCTGCAGAATGTACATGGCGAGAGGTTCGATCTGATGGCGCCAGGCAGCCATATTCTGATCAACATTCCTCGAGGAGAGCGCGCTGAAAAAGCATTGCTACGTGTGCAGGCCGATGCGCGCCGACTGGGGCAACAGTGTGCGGACATGTACTTCCAGGAAGTGAACGTGACCGGCCTCTGGGCAGAGGCGAAACACGCTGGAGGGTATCATTACACCGTGTCGCAGAGCGAGGTCGATATTCCGGAGTGGGTTGCCGTTGGGAAGGTCGAGCTGAAGATCGTTCGCGGGCACACGGACACTGGCTTGTCGTACTTGAACGTGTTCGTGAAGCATTTAGGTCGAGCGGGGTTCGTCGTCGGAGGTCTTCTGGGCGAAGATGACCACAGCGACGTGAGCACGCCCGCGGCCGGGTGCGTAGAGCAGATGAGTCTGGAGCTGCACGCGCAACGGTCCCAGGCGGGCTCGGACCGGAGCAGCGTGCACTTCGTCTGATTTCCGTTGCACTGGCAGAACTGTTTCTTCGGAGCAAGGCCAGATCCCGCCATAAACAGCCAAGGGGCCCAAATATAATCCCTCAATGGGGTTCCCAGGAGGGCCGCCGGGTACCAGGGCGCTTTCAAAAGGCCCCACGAAGGCTCCACGAGGCCCCAGAGGGCCCCAAGGCAGGAAAGCCAGCGATCTCGTGCCAACACGCAGGGGGCGAGAGAGAGATGGTAGAGGAGTATCGGGGGCTGATGAGGAAGGGGAGAGAGAGGGGATGAGAGAGAGAGAGAGAGAGAGATCCGAGCAACAACGATCTGACCCCTTGCCAAAGATGCGCCCGAATATGCCGCCAATAACGCCCAAGAGCGCCCCAATAATCCACCAGGATAGCCGCAACAGGGCCTCACGACACGAACGAACCAGCGATCTCGCGTCCTATCATAAAGATAGCGCTTTCCGCTCACCTGCTAGGCAGGTGACGGAAAGAGCGAGTAACGAGTGATACCATTCTAGGTAGGGCGACAGCCCTATTTGGGTCGGGGTCCACAGTAGGGAGATCGGGACCCACGCTAGTCTAATCCCGGATTCCTCCAAGGGCGTCATGATAGTCTACGAGGGCGCCTAGAGGCTACCAAAATGGCTCCCAGGTGGGCCCAAGATGCTTCAAGATGGTTCTACGTGTGCCCTCTGGAGCAGAACATCGTGAGCACCATGTTGGTTCTCGTATGTTGAAATGTTCTCCGCTAGTCAGCTCCAGACGTCTCCAAGCAGGGCCACAGAGGCTCCCGAGAGGGTTGAAGATGCCCACAGGATCCCCTACCAGGGCCCAGTATGTCCCCAATGTTGCCCCAGATGGCCTCTGCGATCCTTGGCCATTCCGGCTCAAGCGCAACTTTCCACACCCACTGTCTTCTACTTTCGCGCTCCTGCGGCTTCCGTGGCTTACCCACGTGCGCGAGCGGACTTTGTCGTTTCCCATCGACGAGAACCCAGATGGCTACCCGAGCCTTGTGCTTAGCGGTGTCACTTGCCCACAGCTTGCAGGCCGCGAGTGCCGTGCAGATCTCTGACGACGCGCACTCCCTTCAACGCACGCCAGCATGGACCTACTTGGGATGTGGTGCGTGGCTTCCGCAGTGGAATTGCCATGTGGGTGCGGAGACATTCTATGTCAATTGTGGTCGGATTCTTTCTGGCTCCATCGACACTAGAGCTGATCAGTGTGCAGTGAGATGCTCCGCCCTTTCTGGGTATGTCGCCTTCTCTGTGCACGACACAACGGCTTGTTTTTGCCTCACGACTACGCCAACACCAAGGGATGACACTATCGCTGCTTCTTCTTGCACGAACGCGGTTGGAAATAATATTGTTTATGCTTTAGGTGGGGCGCAGACGCCAGCTCCAACGCCCGCACCAACGCCCGCACCAACGCCCGCACCGACGTCCGCACCAACGCCCGCACCGACGTCCGCGCCAACGCCAGCACCGACGCCAGCACAGGTGGCGACGAGTTCGGCCGTTGGCGATCCCCATCTGCAGAATGTACATGGCGAGAGGTTCGATCTGATGGCGCCAGGCAGCCATATTCTGATCAACATTCCTCGAGGAGAGCGCGCTGAAAAAGCATTGCTACGTGTGCAGGCCGATGCGCGCCGACTGGGGCAACAGTGTGCGGACATGTACTTCCAGGAAGTGAACGTGACCGGCCTCTGGGCAGAGGCGAAACACGCTGGAGGGTATCATTACACCGTGTCGCAGAGCGAGGTCGATATTCCGGAGTGGGTTGCCGTTGGGAAGGTCGAGCTGAAGATCGTTCGCGGGCACACGGACACTGGCTTGTCGTACTTGAACGTGTTCGTGAAACATTTAGGTCGAGCGGGGTTCGTCGTCGGAGGTCTTCTGGGCGAAGATGACCACAGCGACGTGAGCACGCCCGCGGCCGGGTGCGTAGAGCAGATGAGTCTGGAGCTGCACGCGCAACGGTCCCAGGCGGGCTCGACCGCAGAGGGCACATTCGTCTGATTTCCGTTTCTTTTGCAGAATGTTCTTCGGAGCAATGGCCAGACCCGCCAAAACAGCCAAGGGGCCCAAAGATAGCCTCAATGGGGTCCCAGGAGGGCCGCCGGGGAGCCCAGGGCGCTTTCAAAAGGCCCCCACGAAGGCTCCAAGAGGGCCCCAAGAGGGCCCCAAGGCAGGACAAGCCAGCGATCTCGTGCCAACACGCAGGGGGCGCAGAGAAGAGAGGGGAGAGAGGATCGGGGGCTGAGGAGGGAGAGGGAGAGAGAGGGAGAGAGAGAGAGAGAGAGATCCGAGCAACAACGATCTGACCCCTTGCCAAAGATGCGCCCGAATATGCCGCCAATAACGCCCAAGAGCGCCCCAATAATCCACCAGGATAGCCGCAACAGGGCCTCACGACACGAACGAACCAGCGATCTCGCGTCCTATCATAAAGATAGCGCTTTCCGCTCACCTGCTAGGCAGGTGACGGAAAGAGCGAGTAACGAGTGATACCATTCTAGGTAGGGCGACAGCCCTATTTGGGTCGGGGTCCACAGTAGGGAGATCGGGACCCACGCTAGTCTAATCCCGGATTCCTCCAAGGGCGTCATGATAGTCTACGAGGGCGCCTAGAGGCTACCAAAATGGCTCCCAGGTGGGCCCAAGATGCTTCAAGATGGTTCTACGTGTGCCCTCTGGAGCAGAACATCGTGAGCACCATGTTGGTTCTCGTATGTTGAAATGTTCTCCGCTAGTCAGCTCCAGACGTCTCCAAGCAGGGCCACAGAGGCTCCCGAGAGGGTTGAAGATGCCCACAGGATCCCCTACCAGGGCCCAGTATGTCCCCAATGTTGCCCCAGATGGCCTCTGCGATCCTTGGCCATTCCGGCTCAAGCGCAACTTTCCACACCCACTGTCTTCTACTTTCGCGCTCCTGCGGCTTCCGTGGCTTACCCACGTGCGCGAGCGGACTTTGTCGTTTCCCATCGACGAGAACCCAGATGGCTACCCGAGCCTTGTGCTTAGCGGTGTCACTTGCCCACAGCTTGCAGGCCGCGAGTGCCGTGCAGATCTCTGACGACGCGCACTCCCTTCAACGCACGCCAGCATGGACCTACTTGGGATGTGGTGCGTGGCTTCCGCAGTGGAATTGCCATGTGGGTGCGGAGACATTCTATGTCAATTGTGGTCGGATTCTTTCTGGCTCCATCGACACTAGAGCTGATCAGTGTGCAGTAAGATGCTCCGCCCTTTCTGGGTATGTCGCCTTCTCTGTGCACGACACAACGGCTTGTTTTTGCCTCACGACCACGCCAACACCAAGGGATGACACTATCGCTGCTTCTTCTTGCACGAACGCGGTTGGAAATAATATTGTTTATGCTTTAGGTGGGGCGCAGACGCCAGCTCCAACGCCCGCACCAACGCCCGCACCAACGCCCGCACCGACGTCCGCACCAACGCCCGCACCGACGTCCGCGCCAACGCCAGCACCGACGCCAGCACAGGTGGCGACGAGTTCGGCCGTTGGCGATCCCCATCTGCAGAATGTACATGGCGAGAGGTTCGATCTGATGGCGCCAGGCAGCCATATTCTGATCAACATTCCTCGAGGAGAGCGCGCTGAAAAAGCATTGCTACGTGTGCAGGCCGATGCGCGCCGACTGGGGCAACAGTGTGCGGACATGTACTTCCAGGAAGTGAACGTGACCGGCCTCTGGGCAGAGGCGAAACACGCTGGAGGGTATCATTACACCGTGTCGCAGAGCGAGGTCGATATTCCGGAGTGGGTTGCCGTTGGGAAGGTCGAGCTGAAGATCGTTCGCGGGCACACGGACACTGGCTTGTCGTACTTGAACGTGTTCGTGAAGCATTTAGGTCGAGCGGGGTTCGTCGTCGGAGGTCTTCTGGGCGAAGATGACCACAGCGACGTGAGCACGCCCGCGGCCGGGTGCGTAGAGCAGATGAGTCTGGAGCTGCACGCGCAACGGTCCCAGGCGGGCTCGACCGCAGAGGGCACATTCGTCTGATTTCCGTTTCTTTTGCAGAATGTTCTTCGTAGCAATGGCCAGACCCGCCAAAACAGCCAAGGGGCCCAAAGATAGCCTCAATGGGGTCCCAGGAGGGCCGCCGGGGAGCCCAGGGCGCTTTCAAAAGGCCCCCACGAAGGCTCCAAGAGGGCCCCAAGAGGGCCCCAAGGCAGGACAAGCCAGCGATCTCGTGCCAACACGCAGGGGGCGCAGAGAAGAGAGGGGAGAGAGGATCGGGGGCTGAGGAGGGAGAGGGAGAGAGAGGGAGAGAGAGAGAGAGAGAGAGAGATCCGAGCAACAACGATCTGACCCCTTGCCAAAGATGCGCCCGAATATGCCGCCAATAACGCCCAAGAGCGCCCCAATAATCCACCAGGATAGCCGCAACAGGGCCTCACGACACGAACGAACCAGCGATCTCGCGTCCTATCATAAAGATAGCGCTTTCCGCTCACCTGCTAGGCAGGTGACGGAAAGAGCGAGTAACGAGTGATACCATTCTAGGTAGGGCGACAGCCCTAATTGGGTCGGGGTCCACAGTAGGGAGATCGGGACCCACGCTAGTCTAATCCCAGATACCTCCAAGGGCGTCATGATAGTCTACGAGAGTGCCTAGAGGCTACCAAGATGGCTTCAAAGGGCTTCGAGAACCGCCGAACGCGGGGCGTTGGGGGCTTGCGCCTTATATTGCGAAGGCCTTTGGCGGGTGCCGCCGACCACGAGCGCAACGGGCAGCAAAAGACATTGACCGTAGGACGTTGAGCAGGGGGAGGGGGAGGCGGAGGAGGCGGAGGAGCAGGAGGAGGAGGCGGGGTAGCACGAAAAGGAGGATACGCAGCAGGAAAAGTAGGATGATGATGCTGATGATGATGCTGCTGATGATGATGATGATGCTGCTGCTGCTGATGATGATGATAATACTGACGCTGATGATGCTGATCCTGATGATGATGCTGATGCTGATGATCATGATGCTGATTAGGATGATGATGGCAAAGGTGATGGTGATGGTGATGGTGCTGACGATCATGTTGAGGATCATGATCATGATGATGACCATGATGATGATTACATGATGATGATGATGATGCTGATACTAATGATGATGATGATGATGAGGATTATGATGTTGACGGTGATTTTGATGATGACGGCGATCATGATGATGATGCTGATGATGCTGATGATGATGCTGCTGATTATGATGATGATAATGATCATTGTGATGGTAATGGTGATGGTGCAGACGACGATGTTGATGATGATGCTGTTGATGCTGATGATGTTGATGACCATGCTGATGATGACGACGCTGATGATGATAATGATGATGCTGACGACGATGATGCTGATGCTGCTGCTGATGATGATGATGATGATGACGATGGTGATGATGCTGATTCTGATGATGATGCTGATGCTGATGCTGCTGCTGCTGCTGCTGCTGATGATGATGATGATGATGATGATGATGATGATGATGGTGGTGGTGCTGATGATGATGCTGCTGCTGCTGCTGCTGAGCTGCTGCTGCTGCTGCTGCTGCTGATAATGATGATAAGCGAGGAGGAGGAGGAGGAGGAGGAGGAGGAGGAAGAGGAGGGGGAGGAGGAGGAGGAGGAGGAGGAGGAGGAGGAGGAGGAGGAGGAGGAGGCGCTGGAGGCCCGGGCCTTATCGTATTCGCCCCCGCCCCAGGTGCTCGTGGTGGGTTCTACCCCGGAGTTGGGCGTCTGGGAGCCCGCTGGCGGACTGCGGCTCAAGACGAGCCCCGACGCCTACCCGCGCTGGACCGCGGCCGAGGTGCTGCAGCGCGCGGAGGGCCGCGGGGGCATGGGGGGGAGGGCAGACGCTTCTCGGCGACTACAGTGGGTGCGGTTACGCCAGGGTGCGGTTTGCGATCGGCGCCGTCGGGGCTTCAGGGAGTCACCGCGTTGCGCAAAAGGTCTGATGAGCCCTCGTCGGGGCGCGGCAGAGATCTCTTTGTCGAGGTCCTCGCCCTTGCCCCCCCTGGCGCGGGTTGCAAACCACACCCTTTGCAAACCACACCCTTCGAAGTCGCCGAGATTCTGCCGTTGCTGCTGCTGCTGCTGCTGCTGCACGTTGGCCAGCGGGAACGGGGGGCCAGGTTCGAGGTGCTGGGTTCAAAAGGTGTTTTGCCTTCTTCGGCCTCTGGGGGCGGTTTTCGGGTCCGGGGAGGGGTCCGGGGACCGATTTTCATCGGGGCCCAGCCAGCTCGGACCCCCCGGCCGCCTCCAAACTGCACGCGCGCTGGAGTTACAGCTTTTGGGTCAGAAGGAGCTGGGCAGGCCCTGAGACTGGCGCCTAGCACGCAACGGCTCGGCTCCTGCGATAGATGCAGCATCCAGCCGAATCTTCTCACGCCCATTCCTTTCGGGGGGAGAGGGCCGAATGCTTCCATCGGAGGAGGTGCCCTACCACCTGCGCTTTTTCGTCATCTCTGGGGCCTCCCGGGGGCTTCTGGCTGCTTTTCGGCTGGGTCTGCGCCGAAAGGCTGGTCGGGGTGGGCCCTGGGAGGGGTCCGTGGGCCGATTTCGAGCGGGTCTGAGTCAGCCGCTTTTGTCTCCACGAGGCCCTCCTCCGAATCTCTCACAGGAGTGACCCTTGGGGGCTGGCGAATCCGCGGACTGTATGCATCAACCCTGACTCAGGCGGGCTCTAAGCGGGCGCCACCCTGGTGGTCTGATTATCTCCAGGCTGACGCCACATCCGCCGACCCAATTTGTTGTGGATGGGTGGAATTCCGAACTTCGGTACGCAGCTTTTTGCTGCATACCTCCGATTCACAGGAACGCCAACCAGTCTTTTCCCGTTGTCGCTGAAGCAGGAAACGTTCAAGCTGTTGGGCGTTGGTTTCGCGGGGGCCGGGCGTGGGGATTGACGACGACCATCGCCGACATCGAAAGCTCCCGCTTTAATTTTGAAGCGCGACACGCCCGCAATTTTGTCGAACATAGGGGCGCCGGGTGCGTTTTGAGGAGATTCGGTGGCCAAGACATCACGGGGGCGGAGGAGTGGCGGGGGGTAGCGCTGCAACCGAATATGTTTCGTGTGTGTTTTGACGCAGGGAACGCTCGCATGTTTCAAAGATGTCCACGGGGCTTGGGGCGTTTTGCGGGGGGCTCCGGGCGCCAGGGATCAGAGCGAGGGGAGAGTGACGGAAACCATCGCTCACACCCGAGATGTCCTTCGTGTTTTGAGGGAGGAAGCGGGCGCATCTTGATTGCAAGAGGACGGCTGGGTGGGGGGGGGGGAGACAAAGGAGAGCTTGATCGGGGGTGGGGGCTCTGATGGGTGGACGACTGCACATCTGGTAGGGGCGGAAAAACCATCTGGTAGGGGCGCGTGTTTCTTGAGCTCATGTTTGCAAATAGCAATGCCGCCAACGTGTGCAAGAAACATGAATTGGACGAATTCTGGATATGGACGCCAGGGGTCTTTTTGTTATGGCCTGAGTTTAGAAGTTCTCCTGTCGCGTTACCGAGCTGTCGTTTGTGCAGGGGCGCTGCCATTGGAAACGCACGTTTGCGAGCACCGCGACGCAGGCGCACCGCGGGCACACCGCCAGCACTCAGCAAAACACAGAGACGCATCGTGAAAATAACGTACGGTAGGTTTGCGTCGTGTCGACCAGCGGCGACCCCAGCGCGGGCGTTCAAGGTTAAACGCCGCCGGCGACCCAGAATCGATCGACGTTGAACGATCGGACGTTGCGGCAGCGGCCGATCGTTCAAGGTTGAACGATCCCTGCGGTGTCAAAAACCAACGCCAGGATCGACACGACACGAACCTGCCGTAATTGCTTGCGCATGGGTGTTGCGTGTCGGTGCGCCTTTGTGCCCGGCGTGCTGATGGTGTGTTTGCGGCGTATGTGCGGTTCGAACTGTCGAAATCGTCGCAGGCAGATTCCCCGCGATCGCCCGCGAACACGTGCCAGTGCAACCTTGGACATCGTTTCCGCTCCCGCCGCAAGTGGTTCTCGGAAGCTCTCGTGGGCCGACATGTTTGGGTCTATCTTGTGATCGAGCAGGCGGGCAAGGAGGGACTGGCTTTCATAAGGACGTCGTTGTGGTCTACAACCGGGCGGTTTTTCCAGGGGCGGATGCGTGCGATGACGAGATGACGCAGGGATGTGGATGGGGCTTGAGTTTGGGGTGCGGGTGCGGGGGCTGGTCCTTATGAGGACGTCGTTCTGGTTTTATTCCGGGGCTGCGTCTTCAGGGCAGACGTGCCGACGTAGAGGGCAAGGAGAGGTGCGATGAAGAGGGCGTCAGGGGGGTGAGGGCGCGGATGGGGTGGAGGACGCGGATGAAGACGACGGGTCAGCGGAGGGGGGCGCGCCAAGGAGGAGGAGGAGGTGGAAAGAGGGAGACAGATGTGGGATTTCGCCGACGGGGCTGGCTTTCATAAGGACGCCGTTCTGGTTTTATTCGGGGCGGCTTCTCCTGGCCAGGCGTGCTGACGGAGAGGGGGCGCAGGCGTGTGATGATAAGGTGATGAGGGGGATGGGGATGAGGCTAGGGTTGCGGATGCGGGTGCGGGGATGGGTTGTCATAAGGACGTCGTTATGTTTTTTTTTTTTTTTTTTTTTTTTTTTTTCTCAGGGGCGTTTTATTTATTTATATCTATATGTGTGTAGTTTTGTTCTTTCTTTTATCTCTCTCTCTCTCTCTCTTTCTCTCTCTCTCTCTCTCCATTTTTCTTTTTTCCCCCATGGCAGACGCGCCGAGGTTGGGGGCAAGGAGAGGTGCAATGAAGAGGGCGCCAGGGGGATGAGGGTAGGGGCGGGGTTGCGGATGCGGATGAGGACAAAGGGCCGGCGGAAGGGGGGGGGGAGGGGATCACAAAC